ACAGGGCTAATACTTTATAAACGACGCTGAGATGTCAAAACGAGACTCAAGGAGAAGAATGCAAAAGTAATACTAATGCTTAACTTCCCTTTTATATATAACTTCTTGGAAGTAGAACTGAGAGGATGTAATCATGACCTGCGGACAATGATCGAACATTTCCCGTTGACCGTGCGTTATTTTATATATTCGAAACCTAAAGCTAAATTTAGACCTGGTCACTTAAATGTCAATTTAGTAAACATAGCAATCACTCATAGTCTTCATCTTCAAAGCCTTCATCATGATCCTCATTATCATCAACATCAGCATCAGGGAGATTTAACGCTCGGATGAAGCCTCAACTTCTTCTGTGATGTCAACAGAGATCTGCTCAGGTCTTTCATCGTGAACAAAGATTGCAGATTCCTTTGCCACTTCTTCGACATGTTCAACACAAAGCCGACACAACGGTTGAAACTGGGGACTTTTAGCATCGACAAAGGTGACGGCAGCGAAAACGTCACTTTTAAAATGAATTGGCGTTTTTTCCAACTTTGTCGCGTTTATTTCAATTCGCTGAAAAAATATGTAGGCCAATTTCCCTGGAGTTGATTTCTTTGGGACCGCACTCAAGTTTAGAAAGAGAAAAAAAAGTTTGACGTCGCTTGTTTACGTCCTCCATAAAACGTGAAACTAGGCATTTTCACGTCGTAGTCGCGCAGTAACAGCAAAGAAATGTACAAAAAAGGTGTGATCCACTTGCAAACTAGTTGTTTTGCTCAATAAACCTATTGCTTTTTTGACGTTCTCGTTGCCGTCGCCGTCATCGTTGCTAAATCTCCCTACTGACATTTCGCGAACGGAGAGTTTTCGCGCGTGTTTACTAGTACCAAATCTAAGTCAGATGTCTTTTCCCGACATTTCTTAGTTTTTGCACGCGAGTATTTCAAAATTACTTAAACCTGCTGCAGATGAAACTTTCATTTAGTTAAATGGATAGTCTGTGTGTGTTTGAAAGGTGTGCTCTTTTGGTTTAATTTAACGATTTAAAGTAGCCGGGGTCATGCTCTGAGTAGGGGAAATCCCCCGGCCCCGGCTCTTAGTGACAACCCTGACTAATGTTCTAACAGGTTAAAATCAGCTGCTAACAAATGGACTAACGCCTCTGACGGATACAACCAGCGATCTAACAGCGATCCAACAGATAGCACAAAAAAGCTGGCAAGTACCACAAAAATTGTGTAATGTAACTGGAATATCTTCTATAACACAGAGGGGAAAGAGATTACTTACTGAATTTTTGCAGATCAGGTGCTAGGTTGTTGTATCGATGCAGTGCTCTTGCACAATCTTGGCGACACAAGTCTGCATTCTTATACTGACAAAAATAAAAGAATTAAATGTAGACAAAATTAAAAGATAGAAAATGTAAGGTTTTTTAATTTTTTAATCACCAATGAATCACGCCAGTGCTGAAGGCATGAGCCACAAGAGAGGTTTGAGTCATTCTTCCCCAGAAAAGTTTGAAAACATCTCAGTGCTCTGAAAGGTCATTTCTAGTGTCCTAAGAGGATAATTTCTGACTGAAATGTTTGTTGAATTGATTCTCATTATCTTGATAATAATATAGCCGGAATGGCTAGCAAGGACCAAGATGGCAGACACAGCTTTGACCAACCACTTTGATTGTCACTTGCTTGCTTTGAGTACAAGTACTAGATTTTATTATATATTTGGTGCGGTTTTTAAAGTTTTCTGGATATCCATCTCAGTTAGGTATACTCTTTTATAAGAAGGTGTTCTTGTATAGGAATCATAAGAAGTCATTTGAAAATACCAGAACTGATGTCAACATATTAAATTGGGACTTTTCCTATTCCCAGTGCATAATGGTCGGGATTCGGGATTTTCAACCTAAAAAGAGAGAATCGGTATCCGGACGCGATTGGGATGGTCCCACAATCTGAACTCAATTATTTAACGAATAATTTGGAAACAATATTAGGCCATTTCCATTCATTTTGTATATCAACCATGTATAAGCTTACTTTGATCAACAGTTGGTGCATATTTATGAAGAAAGGCGGAAAAGATTGTATAAATTCTTTATGTTCGCCTAGTGTAAGTACAAGTGCTTCCTCAATGAACTTTGCAGAAGGAGTAACTAAAAATCCGGTTCGTACAATTCCGCGTACAAAGGTAAATTGATTGTCACTGCCAGTCTGTCTGTAAACGAGCATTTATACACGTCCAGAGATGTACTAACCTTTGAAAGTTTGTTCCTTAACAGACCATCCAATGCCATTTCAAAACAACAAGCAGGAAGATATTAAAATTAACCTAAGAAGATGTGTATATTCGAAACATTTTTACATCACTAACTTTCTTCTGCAAGGTTCTTCTTCTGCAACATTCCTGTCGTTACTTTATATATGTATCATCGAAAAAATCGAATAACTTCTTCATTATTGCCCAGTCCTCCCTCCTCTATGACACACCAAACTATTTTTAGAACAGCTACTGTCTGACACAACCTACGAAATTATCTTGAAATAGCTACGCGGACAAATCTTGAAACTAAGGGAGACGTGAGTTACAAAGAAAAAATAAGAAAAAATAAAAAAAATAAGAAAAATAAAAAATAGAAGAAGACCAAATTGTTGGTTTTCACTTGACGTCACTAAAATTCAAACTACAAAATTTTTAATATCGATCATGCTGAGATTTTACTTTCATGATGCATTATTCGAGCAGCTGAAGACTAAATTTCATACAAAGAGTTCTTGGTTTTGTGATAGAGAATGCTTGAATTTTTAAGCTTTTGCGTGACGTGGCATTTACATGACGGCCGAGAAAGCTGTCATGTGGGTAAAAAAGTGACGTATTTCGGGGAATTTTTCTATCTATCATTAGAAAAAGTATTACTTTGATGTTTATGAGTTCCTCGAGGGATAAATTCACGCTTTTGTACCAAAACTCGGTAACAGATGTTTTTGTTGCGTCCGCCATTTTGGTGCCCACCCAGGTGGGCACCATCATGGCGTCTCCATACAAATCTCTATAAATTTGGGAAAAACATTTCTTCGCGTATCTCGTATACGGAATATTCTTCTGACCTGAATCTTAGCGATGGCCTTTGTATGTTTACCTCCTTTCATTTCCCAGATTCCGGACTTTATCTATTGAACGGTTTTGATTTTTATTTTGATATATTTTGAATGGCGAGATACTGAAAACCAGCAATAGACGTAATAGTAAACGCAGCTAAAAAAAAGACAGCTTTGTATGCCGATCAAAGGAAAGAGAGCCTGATATAAAGCACAAATATCGGGGGATAAGCGACCAATATTTGGATAGAGGTGAACCGCTGAGCATTTGGGACCCTGACCCTTTTTACGACAAAAAAATTCCTAAAACACATACTCTGTTTATAACAACACCCTCAATTTTAGTACCCTGTTTAGGACAAAGGACAAAATGCACGCCTCTTTGTTTTAAAGCCATTTTGACTGGCATTACGCCACTTGAACATAGTAATGCACATTATTTGCCTTCCCGACCCCTCCCCCGCCTCCCCCCCAAAAAATTGCACAACGTTTGTTTTCATTCCTCTTGGGTATTACAGCCGTCTCAAGAGAAACTGAAAACAATTTTTCTGCAATTTTTTTTTTTTTTGGAGGGGGGGGGGGGCGAACAATGTGCATTATGGAAGATGTGCAAGTGACGTTTTGCAAGAGCAAATTCACGTTATAATCATTGCTTACATACTTGGAGTACAAAAAAAATTCATCTAGGATATCAAATCAATCGTGCAGGCAATACCCTGTTGACAGACTCCCACAATGTTATATACCCTGATCGGCTCATGACCCTGTTTAAGACAGAGAGGACTGAAAACCATGGCCCAGCGGCACATCCCTGTATAAGCCATATAAGGGAGTACCCCCCGGAGCACAAATACCCCACCACTTCTCTGTTTCACTTCCGTCAGGAGCCCATCGAGGGTAACCCCCGGGGGTAACTTCCCCAAATTCAGGTTTTGAAACGGCTTTACAGTAAGGCAGAGTATACAGTTACGGATGGTGGGTAATCTCGGTAATGGCCCAGTAATGCTTTATGTTCTCCAATTAACTTCACTACAAGCTAATAAAGTCTATATGCGTTGTTCTCCTTCCTTTGCACTGCGCATCACCTACCGCGCAGAAGATTGCGACATCAAAGGTTGCGGTGATTTTGACCCGTTTGCAAAGACGGCTCTTGTAGTCCAAAAGCTTTAATTACGCGCTTTTGATCATATTTGCATGGAAAAGGCGCGTTATAAGTTTTTAATTATTATTATTAATTATTAATTATTAATAACTCTCCACAACTACTTGAAAAGGTGTTGATACTGAAACCCGTGTCCGTCGCTTCGCGTAAAATGATCATTTAAGCCGAAATTGACCCATCATTGTTATTTGCAATGAACCGAGGACGGTGAGCCTCTGTGTTATTGAAAGAGGTTTCTGACAAAAAATACATAGCAGCTATTCTAGAAATCAAATCCCCTCAAAATCCCCTCAGACACCCTGAATTGCCTTTTTACCAGCAACACTTTCCTTCCAAGGACATATTACTTCTGCCGCATCTCCCAGAAAGCAAAAATTTCCCAGAAAAAGAGGTATTTTGAGAAGCAGATCCGTTGGGTGCCCCTGTATAATCGTGGCGATTATGATATTATGGAAACCTTTCATTGGTAATTAAGTCAGGACCTTTTACAGTAATGGATTCACAGGAGCTGATGACTCACCCTGGCATTTATATGTCGAAAATGATTTAAAGTTTCCTTGTGTTTGTTAATGTTTTCTTGCCTTGATCAGGATAATACCGGGTAGTTGAAAGTTACCAAAATGCTGCTTAAGTAACTAAGGAGGGAGTGAGTGAGTAAAAATAAATTTTCCTCTACTTTATTGTTTTAAATTCAGGTCTGTCGAAGTAGTTTAAGTTTAGGTCAGGAAGTATGACAAACTCACAGATAAGCCAGCAAATTTATTGAGTATTGCATTTTCCATTATCGATACATTAACACTACACGCGCGCACTACACGCGCGCTTAGCGGAGCCCCATAGCTAAGAAAATCTTGTTATCTATCCGTTGGAGAAATTTTATTGATAGTCATGTGACCGTACTTCCATCCGTCCACCCGTTCGTAAGCCCCACGGAGAAACTAATGAAATTTTACACTTTCTGTTAAAAGTGCCCGCTGACAAGTTACTAGTTTACAACTGGTCGCAGGTTCAACTCCAGACACTCCAAGTGACTTCTTTGCAATGGTTACAGGTTTAACATTTGAAGCTTTGATTATACATTTATTAACCGGAGTTTTGCCTTTAGTCCTCTTCACGGCTAAATCTATAGAGACCCACAGACTACTTCTGGCAGATATTAGAAAGCAGCAATATATATATAAATTCAATCAACAATTTACAGTCATATGAGCACTGCATTTACAAACTGGTTTGCAAAACTCGATCCTTTAATAATAGTAGCAGCTTGGTTAATAGCAGCAACTTATTGGAGCGGTACCCTTAATTCATACAGTACGTAGGAACCTATGACGGCGACCGTCACGAGAACATCCGAAAAAGGAATAGGTAGCAAAACAACAACTTTGCACGTGCAACACGATTTTTTGTACTCCCGTTGTCGTCACTGCAAGACTACGACCTGAAAATGCCTAATGTCACGTTTTATGGAGGAAGTAAACAAGCAACGAGGAAATTTTCTTTCTCTTTCTGAACTTGGATAAGGCTCATCGGGATTCAAATCCATGTATTTTACGAAGTGATTTGAAATAATTGCGACGAAGTTTGATAAAACGCGAATTCCCCTTTTAAGCGACGTTTTCTCTGCCGTCGTCGTCCTCGCATCTTGAGGTCCCTAGTATATATTTATGTATACCGGGGGGGTACCACGCCGTTGGAGGTCAGCTATGCAGCCTTAGAGTAAACAGGTGGATGTTCAGCAAACACACAGGAGAGGATCTGAAGCAGTGATGCAAGATCAGATTTCGGCTGAAATATAAAAACATTAAACATGTTAAAAAATGTTGTAGAATATAATTTTGTAAAAATAGTACTAAAAAAAGTACAAAAAGACTTTTTCTTGTTTTGTCGTCAACTTACGGTTGATTTGTTTAAAGCATAGAATGTACACCTCTCAAAAGTTGGCATAGACTAAAACATCAGCATTATTCAAAAGTTCGAGAGTAAGTGTAGAGAATCAGATGAGATTTTATGATCGATCATCAAAAAATAGTAGGAGTATTTGCAATAATAGTCAGTATGTTTATTCCTTTTTAAAATTGTGTAATCGATAGGTTATTCATCTAATAGCAGGTGGCTTATTTTTAAAGGAATCTTGTGTTCTGTTTTGAGCCTACCAGTCAGATTATCAGTATTTAGTATTCTAATGATTTTGTAACCTGGAACCTGATTAAAGTTTAAAGTTTTAAAGTCTATAAGAGTTACCCAACCGATCGATCATTATCCCGCGAGCAGTGGTTTCTCCTGTTCGGCCTGGGGAAACTGCTGCTCGCAGGGTAAACGATCATCGATTATCTTCTCCATAAGAATCCCATTTATTTTGTTTTCTGAAAAATTAGGCGATTAGCTCACAAGTCAATGGCCTGAGCGTATGTAACTTTGTAGCTTTGTGTGTGTCAGTATGTGGATGTGTTTCTATGTGTGAATTGCATTGTGACTGACCCGGAATTTATCCAGAGTTAAATTAGGGTAACTTCGGGTAGGGGCGGGCGGATTGGGCGGGCATGCTTCTTTAAAAGTATTCTTAGTCAGATTTTCCTTACCGTATTTCAAACCTGAACCCCTCTTCAGAGTGGCAAATGATGAAAGAAAGAGACCAAAAAAGCTTACTATATATCATACCTAAAAGTTTCAAACCTGAAAGAAATTTCAGACCAAAGGGATAAAAACATTATACCCTTTGCGACGTACATCCATGCATAGCTTTTTGTGTAAAGGAGAACTTCACCGGATCCTACAATTGTCTAGCGACCCATTTATACTCTATTTTGTTCTTTTAAGAACACTCATTATAGCTGAATAAGGATACTTAACGTCACATACATAAGACCATTCGTGTAGGAAAGGAAGATAAACTTTGCCGTTTGTGTCCACATGATGCGATGGTTTGATAGCCATGCTGCTGGTGGGTTTAACAAACACCAAAGGGGCAACTTTCGGGTGACTTTCTTGCAGCCATATACACACTGGAATGTTGTATGCTACACCTGCAATTGTGAAAAAATTGATCAACATACACAATAACGGACACAATAACTCCCAACATTTGGTTGGGAGTTGTTGCGTCCGTTTTCACGTAGCTAAACGTGTGACCGGTTTCTAACTTCGCGAAACAAGTCCCAACAACACGGATGTGCAAACGGACGCGTCCGTTTGCGCAACGCTTTAAAGTAAGTGTAGTATACTCAAGAAAAGACCACACCTAGCTGAGACTTTCAGTTTAATTTTACCTCTAATCACTACTGGAAGAGTTCCATCCAAAGCGAGTAATTCAGTTTCTCTGCCGTCATTATGTACTGTCGAAGAAATCATAATATTATTCACACAATATATTCCTGCTTATGATTAAGTATTCATTATATCTTATAATTATTGAAATTGAACTTTAAGCGCACCACTTTTACCTGTAAAACGCCAGAAATAAGAAAAAGAGTAACTCTACAGTGAACGGCCATTGGAAAAACTTTTTCGGGTTTTTACTTACATGTTTTTAAATTACAATCAACTACGCAATTGCAAGCAGATTTCGTCATGACGTAATTGGTGACGTGATGAATGAAGCTTAAAATAAATAGCTTTACAGAAATACAAAAACAGAACGGCCTGTTTTAAACGTTGTGCTACTGCCGTGCTAAGCTGGCTCGACTGTAGCTCCACTGCAGCATGACACTAGCACGACTTGGTTTCAGACGTAGAATCTAATTAAGTCGAATAGAACGGCTGTTGCCGAAAACAAAACACAAAAATAAAGAAACGGTTTAGTAAACTTTCTAAATGTATTCTATTGTATTTATAATTCATGAATTGAGTTCGGCACGGCAATAGCGCGACGTTTGAAACCAAGTCGAGCTACCGCCGAGTGGCACGGCAAAGCTTGCCGTGTAGCACGACTTGGTTTCAAACGTGGAGCTACTGCCGTGCTAACAAAGTCGAACTTAATTCGATCAATTTATTTCGGCACGGCAGTAGCACGACGTTTGAATCGGGCCTACCTTCAGAATTGCACTCTCCAGTGGCGGATCCAGAGGAGGGACCCGGGGGGGGGGGGCGGTTCCCCCCTTATTTTTAGACCAAGCTGAGGCTCGAAGGGCGGAAAAAATTTTCTTTGGAGAGTGAGCCTTCCGTTATCTAAGGGTTGGATGACGGCCCCGTCCCCCACTCCTTATCTCAAGGTCTGGATCCAGCACTGCTCTCTTTATTTTATTTTTACGTAATGTAGGCAAAAGGCAAACCAGCGTACTTACTGAACTTTTGCAGATCAGGTGAGAGGTTGTTGTATCGATGGAGCGCTCTTGCACAATCTTGGCGACACAACTCTGCATGCTTATACTGATAAAATAAAATAACCAAGGACAGATCCTAAGACCTATCTTCAATGACAGTTTCCTCTGTACGCTAGTGCTTTAAAAAATAATAACTTTAAACTTTAAGCAACACGACACTTCATTTTGAATGATAGATTTTAACTATTTATGATCGCTCAATCGGGTTCAAGGTAGGTACAAACGGGGCCAAATAAGTGGGGGATGGGGTCGGGGGATGGGGGGTCCAAGCCTCCTGCCTCTCGTACTATGCCGTTCCTGGCTTCCGCCCCTTTTTCCTTAAACGTCTTCACTGGTCTTCCTCCCTTGTGCACTTTTACGATTGCGAAATATTAATCATTGTTGCGTATTTCCCCCCCTATTTCTCCCACTTCTCATTCTTTTAGAACTCCCACCCACCCGCCGTTTCCTCCGTCCGCCTCCCGTAGCAGCCCTCCTGCACCATATTCCCCCAGGCTCGCAACCCCTGTCCTGCTTAACAAATAAGAACTTTTGAATCTGTCAATGAAGCATGCTTCATCACTTAACTAAAGCCAGGGTAAAAGCCAGTTTGTAAACGAACACAATCTGTTCACAGATTTTCTAACCTTTGCAAGTCTGCTCCTTAATGGAGCATCCAGATTCACCGTTGTTGTGCTAACTTTTGGTAGTTTGACATCCAATGCCATTCTAAAAGAAGAAGCAGACATCTTTCTTAGACACAGGCTGAGAACGAGGTTATATGAATTTTTGTCCTAATCCAGTAACAATTTTAATTTGTTCTTCATCCACTACTAACGCGTATATACCAAGAGAGGATAAAGGGGACAGAGAAGGCATCCCCCATACACACCCTATTCCATAGGTAATTCGTCTCGAGTTATTTTTGGAATCGGGATAAAGTTACCTCGCGCGCTGCGTGGATGTTTGGTGGAGGTTTTGCATGACTAATCGCCGTGCAAAACATGTCGGGCGAAAGGCAATGAAAGCGTAAAGAGATCGAGAGCATTCCTGAATATTGAAGGAAATTAGTCGGCGCTTACCTGGGAAAAGGGAATCGCTGGACTCTTTTGTCAACCCGTGAAATCAGTTTAGCTTGAAGTTGTCGTAACCTCAGTGCTTTAATAAAATGAGAAATTTCGCCCGTCTATTGAAACCGGTCGTTTGTACAATAAAGCAAGTAGGACGCCAAGTGTTATTGTTGTTGAATAATAAAAGACTAATAAAAGAATAAATATCAAACCAGAAATAGCTCTCTTCAAACTGTAAATTATAAATGATCCTGAGGGAATACTCAGTGTGTTAAGGATTTCCTGCTGTACTGTCAGCTCTATAGAAGAGAGGAAGGGCGATTCTTTTTAAATTTCCGTTTCGCTGACACAGCTTTAGCAGAAATCTCTCTGTAGTCGTTTTCGTCGACAAAACGAATAACAATATCGCTCTCCGCGTCTTCCGCCATTTTGTTCTGCGTCAATTCGTGAAGGACGCGTGCCTCTGAGCGTGGGTCATCCACGCGGAACACATTCGCGCTATGTGATTGGGTTTTGTCTAATCCCCCTTGAGACCTGTGGTGTTAAAAATAACTCGAGACGAATTACCTATGGAATAGGGTGTGTATGGGGGATGCCTTCTCTGTCCCCTTATCCTCTCTTCGTATATACGTACTTCCTAGGGCTTTTGAGAAAAAATCCTAACACAGGGTACAAGAAGAGAAAACAGAGGGCAGAAGAGAAGGAAAATGTAAAGTTTGCTCAAAGACTCGAAATTTTGCCTCCTGGATCTCCGAAAGGTGTAATTGACCATCAGAAACAATAACTGGCATTATACTCGATTTGCAAACAAAGGTTTGGGTAGTTTTGGTTTCTTTTGTTTGGCGAGATAATGACCAGGCTCCAGTTGCTCAAAACGTAGATAACGCTATCACACCCCAGTGGATAAAACAATTGGTTTCTGCGTGGTATTTATCCGGTGGATAGTGATTTATCCGCTTGATAGCGCTATCCAAAGGTTCAACAATCCGGGCTAGTAAAGGAAGGCTCGAGGACCTTCCGCTTCGCACGACGTTTTTCAGCCAAAACTCTCTGAGGGAATGCCCGGGTTAATTCCAGCATTTCAGGCCTTCACCTCTCCTTCCGCATATTTGTCCAGAACTCCAAAGAACTTCCAAAGGCCACAAGCTGGGGAAGCCAATTCAAGACAAAACACTTTTTCGGCTAACAAAAGCAGCTATCGGACTTAAGGAAGCTACGACGATGACTCCAGGGCAATGTCACTCGGATAAAAAAAAGGACAAAATGACTCTACGCAAGTACTTGCTTTTGTACAGATTACGCGGACAAACTACATGTATTTTTCATTAGCCTCCGTAGCAATCTCTAAGGAATTGACGAAGATTTTTTTTGAATTGCGATATAAACTTGTTTGGGCAAAAGTTGAACTGCAATAACATTCAAATGGCAAAACTTGATGAAAGTGAACTGGTACGAGCTTCGCTCATTTGGGATATCCAAATATTCAAAGAGGTACTCGCCTTTTTCACTTCAAAAATGGTTGGTTTGTCTCGATCGTGTCAGTCGATAATCGCAATAACATGTTACATTCCATTTGTGTAGGTTATCATGGTGGTTGGTGTATCGTAGCCTACGTACCTGGCGGTTTTGTAAGGGGAAGGCAACAAGCGAGTGGCGAAGCCACGAGGAGAATGAGACGGAACAACGAGAAACCTACTCGCTGCTCCGCCGCTCATTTTTGCCGCTTCCTCGCTCATATTCAAGGCTTCGTCGATCATTGTCGTGGCTACGTTGCTCATTTTCGTGGCTTTGCCGCTCGTTCTCGCGGCTTTGTTGCTCCTTTTTCTGGTTTCGACGCTCATTTTTGTGGGTTCGCCGTAAGCTCACACTCCACTCACCAAAGAAAAAGGCCAGGTACACAGGCTAGGTGTATCACCCAGAAATTTCCTACAGGACAAACAGTTGTCAGAGTGTAAAAGTACTAGATAGGCTATTTTAACAGTACCCTGTTGATGTCGGCTGATGAGCAGCCTGTGGCTGGGGTTGTGCTAGTTTGGAATACACCGGTGGACTTTCAGAAAAAATACAGCAGAGAACCTGAAGCAATGCAGCAAGATCAGACTTTGGCTGAAAAAATAAAAACAAAAAAGTATTAAATATATCGTAAAGTTATTTACTAGCCGGCCTGTAATTGTCTTAGGGCCTGTTTACATGGAGGTGGGGTAACCCGCTTGTCCATATAATCACTCTTTTTTAATTGATCACGTTTACATGTCAGGTGGGGTGACCCTCCAAGGCGGGTAGCCGAATCTGCCATAGAGGGTCACTCTCTCAGCTCGGGTCTAATTTTGCATGTAAACGTTTCAAGGTGGGGTTACCCGCCTAACCGGGGCTGGATTCGCGATACATCAAATTTGCGTAAAATTCACTTTGTTCAATTAAAGGGAGTCTGACGCTGAAGTGCATGAGTGATCGGTAAAACTGATTCCTCCAAAGAAGGACCTAAGCTATTTACCAGTTGTCAATGCCATGCTCTGATTTCTTAAAAACTGGAAGATGCTGACCTTTATTGCATTAAAATTACTCTATCTTTGCAAGGCCGTTTCATTATATAATTGAAACAGCAACGAATCCGATATTTGATTTGTTGCCCACATTGCAGAGAAGAATTAATCACCACAGCCTGCAGCGAATAGTGAATAATCAATCACAATTTTTTGCCAATGGTTTGAAGGGCTGATTCCACAGAAGCTCGTGATCAGTGGCATTTCAAACACATAAAACAAAAGAAAAAATTTATTTGGACCACATGTGCAAATGTTAAGAATACAAAAAAACTTGCAAAAAACCTCCGATGAATATAAAAGAAAGTACTTTCCGTATGACATTCGTCGACGTTCCTAGGTGGCATAAAATACTGACTTTTCTTGCAGCGGAGCTACCGCCAATGCCTCCAAGCGAAACACCATGAAAAAAAAAACACCATGGGTAGGAAAGCTTTTCCTAAGGTCTAGGAGACGAGGGGTGTGACTTCATAAAAATTCAAATTTGGATCGTAACGCTTATGATTTGAAAGGATCTATGTGAAGTCATCGGAGTACAACGGTGTTTATATCTCCCAACCAATTTGCACTTAAACAGGCTCGGCTCGTTTTTTTTAGCAGGTGAACATTTTCATCTTTTTGTTTTTAGATGAGCCAACATATCCCATAATTTCACAAATTAAATTTTGTGACGTCATCACTTCTCCTCTCTATTTTTGTGGGTGCCCAACCGGTCAACGTGCGCACAAAGCACTTCATATACATGTAAAGAAAACTTAACAATGTTTCATGCTTTAGTTTCGTCATATAAAGGCATAACGGGAATCTCGCACAATTCACATACATAAGACCACTCATGCAGGAAAGGAAGATAAACTTTGCCGTTTGTGTCCACATGATGTGATGGTTTGATAGCCATGCTGCTGGTGGGTTTAACAAATACCAAAGGAGGAACATGTGGATGATTCTCCTGCAGCCACACACACACTGGAATGTTGTATGTTACACCTATAATTTTAAAAAAACAATATATGTTGTGGTTCACTTTTATCTTTGGTTTGAACTTTATTTCCCTTTGTTTAATTTTGGGGTATGTTAATGTATGGCAATGAGTTTAAAAAAAGGGAAATAAAATTTAAACCAAGGATAAAATTGAACCACCACATGATATGATTCAACTCAGAATTGTAGTAAATTTTGTGCTCCGTTTTGAGGTTGATATTTCGATAATGTTAGGTATGAAATATAAGGGCAAAAAATTATGTTTGTCAGGTCCACAAGGACAGTTTCCTACCGTGCCATATTATGCGCAAAACCAACTGCATTGCATGTGAATACTTTGAACATGCACGATGATGCGGTCGGGGCTTCGTAAAGGTCAGATGAGCTTGCTAAAATCAGAACGTTTCGTAAATCTTGAGTAAACTAAAAGAACATGTAAAAGTGATGCAGTGTGATGCGGCAATTAAATAAGGAAAACCAATGATAATAAAACTGAAATAAAAATTATATATAGTGAATCATATTATTCATCTTTTTAAGTGCATGGAACGCATTTCACTGTCGTTTATCTTTAATACGATATTGACTTGTTGTGTTTTTTTCATCGCGACGTTTCAACCAGTCACGTAGTCTCGGCTGATCTTCATCAGGCGATGGTGTAGATTAGCTGTGCAGAACTATTAGGAACCGTGGTTGCTAATAAAGGAAAGGTTCATTTGAGTGTACGAAAAGCGAAAAAAAAAAACATACTGATCTGGAAAAGGTAGCTTTTTTCGCGGTTAATAGGGCAATCTGTTTAGTCAGTTCTACCTCTAATTGAGACGGGAAGTGTTCCATCCAAAGCCAGTAATTCACTTTCTCTGCCATCATTATGAACTGCAAAGGCATCATAAGTAACCGTTATGTTGTGTCATCAGCAATTATTTACTTGTGCTACATTTTATAACTAGGGTCAAGAGAGAACTAGACAGTGCCGGATCCAGACCTTAAGATAAGGGGGTGGGGGGTGGGGGCGGTCTCCCAAAAAATTTTTTTGGGCCCTTCGGGCCTCAGTTTGGTCTAAAAATAAAGGGGACGGGGACCGGGCTCCCTGGGCCCCTCCCCTTGATCCGCCACTGCTAGACTAATTCTTCCTTGCTGGGGATCCACAAATGGAAGAACTGAGCCACCTTTGATCGCTCCCAGCGGTGGGGAGCGATCAGAGACAGCTCCTCTGAGTTACCAAAGTGCATTCGCAGCATCTAAGATTTTCAAGAAAATAATGGCATGAAAGCCCCACTTATCGCTCGAAAAGGCTTCAGTTTGCACCTAGTCGTAGGATGACCAAACCGATAAAAACGGATTAAGAATACAGATTCAGAATATATTCCAGTCTATCCTGAATAGCTTTGAAAGCACTCTAGACAGCTTCAAACACGTTTTTTTGACTTTAGGAAGTTCAAAGAACCTTCGCAGCAAGCTATCCGTAGATATAATAACAATGAGGAGCTTTCTTACCGAACTTTTGCAGATCAGGTGTTAGGTTGTTGTATTGATGGAGTGCTCTTGCACAATCTTGTCGACACAATTCTGCATTCTTATACTGATAAAATAAAACAAATAAAAGAAACTTTTACCTGAAAACAAGCTTCAGGTAGCCTTGTTTGAGAAACAAAACACGAGCTTAAATTTAAGGTAATGACCATTTCTTGCTATTCAAATTAAGCTTGTCGAACTTTCTCGAGAGTGTCACGTGATAAAAACAAGCAAAGAAAAACCATTAGATTAAAAACTTATCTATGACACCCAGCTCCCAGTTGAGCATGTCGTAAAATCCCGTTCAGTTTATGAATTATACAATTTGTCATGACTATTGCAAGTTTGAGGCTAGATGAGCGGGATCCCACGCCCCCAGGGTTATGGCGGCAGCCCTTATGATGAGTTGGGTCGGAGGCCATACGACCTGGTGATCTTCCCTAGGCGTTTTACCTCAGACACCTGCGGGTGAGGCTATAGAAGTATTAGAAGAGGTTGTTTGTAAGTCATTAATTTCTTTTTCTTTTTTTTGCGATTAAGCAATGAATTGTAAAGCGCATTATCGCATTATCGCATTATCGTTGGGACTTTCTAGTGGCAGTGAAGCAATCATACTGGGATTCCCCGCAATGCACACCCTTAACACTCAAGATATTATCTTATAATAATAATAATAATAATAATAATAATAATAATAATAATAATAAAAATAGTAATGATAAACAAAACGAAGGCAATAACAGTCCATTCCGCTTCTGTTTTTGCTTCTCCTCTTGCTTCATCACCATGCTCCCCAACTCTCCACCAAGGAAATGACTGTTTCGCGAGCTAGATGTGTTCGAAGTTTTAGGGTTTCTTATAGTAATGTCAGTATTGTCACTAATAGTTTTGCGATGAGAATGCACCAGTTTGCAAGTTTAATATAACGCAATATATGTCTGTTGTTGCAGTTTCGTTTGATCAAAACTCAATTTCAAGCTTCGTTTAATTTGAAGACCAGACTATATAGCCAATGGGCTTCTGTTCTATCCTCTCAGAAACGAAAAAGAAAGACACTCACTTTGCGATGGTCACGCAACTACTCGGCACTGGGGCCGGCGGTGACTACCTTGGCCATCGGCTACTGCCTTCGTGATAAGTGAAAGGAGGGTTTCATGATGCCTCTTAGGTGAAAACGTCACCAAAAAAAAAAGGGAATTTGCGTCCCTTCACATTTGAACCCGCCCAATTCGTGAAAAGTAGGCGACTTTTCCTGCAGTTGAATTTCCTCAGGTTTATGCAGATTCAAAAAGAGAAAGTGAAAGGCACTGTCGTATGTATGTCCTCTATAAATCGTCGCATGATGATTATAGGAGCCGGATGGATTTCACGTCGTAGCCGTGCAGTGGACGTGAAAGAAATGTACTAAAAAGAGGGTCTAAAAAAGTGCAGAGCTCAGTGTTATTTTTCTCATAAAACCAATTGTTTTGTGGACGTTGTCGTTGTCGTCGTCCCCGGTCGTCGTCGTGGTTGCTTACGGATCGGTAAACAGATTTGCAAGCGCTATCCACCGGAGTGGACAAATCACTTCTAACGCGCGAATATTAAAGTGCCAATGGCTTGCATGACAGGCCTCGATAATAGCCAATTTATTATATTTGGATACTAACCTTTCTTAGTTTGCTCCGTAAAAGACCATCCAATGCCATTTTGAAACAGAAGTACAAAGTGATCAAAATTATTACAGCGAAGGGAGATTTAACTTAAACGAAAATAACTTATTACATGTAAGCTACTTTCGATTTTGCGGGAAAAGTACCTTCCGTGGTCTTCCGGCGGGCGACACGTACCCAGTCCTCCCTCGTTCATGACATCAAACTATTTTTAGCGTGAACGTGGTTGAAGTGTTCATCGTCAATCGAAATTTTGGAAGCGTTATTTTAAACTATTACCTGCTTCCAATTAATCTCAACGTTCTTTCACTTTGAGCTAGAGTGTTTTGGTTTTTGATTGAAAAAACCAGAATGGCAATGTAAATTATCACAAAGTATTTATCCCATTGATGGCTGCCGCGGATTCTCCAGTGTCGAACGTCAATGATTCACCACAGTCTGCACAGCTTGTTGATGAAGGAAAGGCAAGTCTTTTTTTTTTATTTTACAGGCAGAGCGTTTTTTTTTCCACTTTTAGAGCAGCTTCTATCAACCAGTGATACATTTTTGCTGTACTACGGCACAGGTTGTTTATCGACAAGATGGCGTGTTCGTGCACACCGCTGTGCCGATCACAACAACACAGACTGCAAATATCATTCCTGGCAGAGTGATCGTCATTGAGAAAGTAAGTTAGAATCTTGAGGCAGGAAAAAGATGTCTTATCTTTATGTTAGATTAACTGCCAATCGCGCCGGCCACATTCTTCGTACAAGAAGATCGACGACGCGGCTCTTTGCTGGAGGAGATTACATTTGATGTTTGTATTTACCTTTTTTAGACACTTGACCCCTTACTCTAACAAATTTACCCTGAACACGTCATGTAGCTACCGGCGAACATTAGACGAGAGTTGTTCAGGTCTTGTACAAAAGAAGTGAGTGGGCTGTTTGCAAAAAGCTGTCAATGATGTCACAAGAAAAGATATACATTGTAGATACAGTGTACAACATGTAAAGGATTTATTGGAAACATGAGTAATTTTGTTCAGTGGTGACAGCACTTGGCCCCTACTAATGTGGCCCGGGACTTGCTTAGTGTTGACACAATAAGCATACATTTTAGAAAATTTTCCCTTCGCTTTTCTAGGCTCTTCAGCTCAGTCTTTCCAGGAAACCGCAGAATCAAGGGAGAGCCAAGAGTGCTTGATATCATTCTAGTCTGAAGCTCTGTGCCTTTTTTGCACATAAGAGCCCAGAAAGAGTGGATAAGTTTCCCTTGGCTTTCTGGGCTTTTCCAGGAATTTCTGGAAAGTCTGGAGAAATAAGTCACTCCTGGCTTTTCCGGGCTTCTTCCTGGCTTTTCCGCATGGAAAACCAGAAATTTTACCCTGGAATTCTGCACTTCTCTTTGCAGGGTAGATATGTTGCAGTTTCACTGTAATAGACCTCTTTAGCTTGTCTGTTTTGTTTTCCCAATAGAGGTCCCAGGGGAACTTGACCTTTTGTCTTTTCATAAATTATGCATACATGTGCATATGAATAAAACGAAATTTGAGAGAAACAGTTCTCAAGAGTAGGTGTATAACCACATGACCTGTATTGGGAAAACAAAACATACAAGTTTAAGAGGTCTGTTAATTCAGTACAAGTTTGGATCTGAATTGACTGTTCAACTCAGGACATACCAAATTACCTTTCAAGAATGCAGTAAATTGGAATCAAATGTTGAAATTTTGCCATTTTCAGTTTTAAATGCATACTGTTGTATACTGTTTCAAATTTGTTGTGGAAAAGATACACATACATGTAGTCTTCATTTAAATTCAAGGTGAAATTCATGGATATTGAAAACATTTGACTTTAATGTTGCTTTTTGTTTGTTTGTTTGTTTTTTTTTTTCAGCAAAATAGCAGTTTTGTAGACTGGTCACCCATTGTGAATGAAGAAGAAGAATTTGAACTGGAATCAAGTGATTACTCTGAGTGGGACCTTGTCACACAAAGTAAAAGCAAAGAAGAAGGTGACTCAAGAGTACTTTCCCTTTTTGCTTCAATGACCTTGTCAAAGTTTTGTGCAAAATGTCACATTGCTGCAAAAGAAATAGTGTGCTTTCAATCATTCCTGATGCCACACTTTAAGTTACTACCCTGACAGCTCACCTGCTAAAAATTCTTGTCAAAATAGAAAAACAAATTTATCTACCTTTATGTTATATACAGTGTGTACCAGAACTTTATTAAGAAATTGAATCATAAGTGCACAGTGCTTCCTATGATTTGGAAGCTCATGTAAGACAATGACATGAAACACCAATGGCGTTAGTGAGTTTGAAACCATGAAATGCACTGTATGCATATCGTTTGTCTCAGGGATACAGTCTTACCCCCCGTAAGTGACCACCCAAAATGCAAAGACTGCGTGGTCTCTGATGGGAGGTGGTCATTTACAAGAATCGAACCACAGAGGGTATCTTCAGAGAAGAGGTCCAGGCACATCTACTTTTTGGAAGATAATTATTTATGGCTTCCAATGTCTAAGTTAGGATATGTGTACTTCCATGTTGTCACTAAAGTTTTTCGTATATTCTAAGTAAGATGCCACACAGAGCGAAAATAGGATCAGAGATTGCATCAAGTGGTTGTTTACAAGAAGTTGAAAAGAGTGGACAATCATTAACCATCAGGCCCAAAAAGTGGTCACCTATGCTTACAGGAGGTGGTTGTTTACTAGAAGTTCCAACTGTAAGGCTTTAGCTAGGAAAATTTTGGTGTTTTGGATCAGTCGCTTAGGGAAGATGGTCGCTTACCAGAGGTGGTGGCAGTCATGAAGGTTCGACTGTATGATTTTTATTGTTTGCTGCCAAGTGGGCAACCTCTTATTCAGTATTTAATGATAAAGGTTGGTAATAAACGAAACTAAACCAATATTCAAACCTTAAGTGTGCACATAATGTACAGTACAAGATTTCACAAGACGTTTAACACCTTTTATTGTCTAAATGTGCAGATGGAAATGCTCCTAAAAAGAAGAGAAGGTCAAAGTATGCTATTCACTTCAACACAGCAGAGTTACACTCCATCAGGCGATCTGATCCCAAGCTGGCCTGGTCTTATGCTGTGTTTATTCTTAAAGATGGTACCACACTACCAGCCCTTCATTTCCACTCTGGTGGTATCAGTGAACTGGTTCGCAGACTGCAGAGATACATCTGGCTGACAAGGTAAGTAGAATACATAATTATACACCACAATCATTTCCAGTAAATCATATTTTCTTTTCTTTTGTAATCACTGCATAACTAAATTTTTGGTGCCAATTTTTTAATGTCAAAATTTTGGTTTTTATGTACCATTTTGTATTTTACAATGTACATGTATGTATGATCTTCAATGTGCAATATTACAATGTACAGTAATGGTCCCTTTCATTGTCCCTCAACATCACAGAAGTTTTGTCAAGAGAGAGGTGTCCACATTTTTGGCATCAAAAAGTCCATACTGATGATGAAAATCTGTCTTGAATCTTGTTCACAGCTCTGATTGGTTGAGGTGTTTCATATTATTTTATACATGTACTCTTTCAGTTATTGTTTACTAATGACAGACAAAAGACAAAGATCAAAATGTAAGACTAGATTTTGTTTAAATCCAAGAGCAGTGAGTTTTGCATGTACCATTATTCACAGCAAAACTTGAAAATTGTCATGTTAATGGACCAGGACAAGGAAAAGCACAAACAAATCCACATCTGGAACCCCATGACCACTGTATCTGCATTTATTATGTAATAATTTATGTCATCAGTTGATATTTCTAAAGCCAGCAGCAGAGAGCAGTGACACGCCTCAATGTATTCGTTTGCAATTCAGTGCTCCGGCCTTTAACTGTGATCTTTGCAATGTGACACTGTGCCCAACATGTACAGTGTATATGGTGTTGGGTTATACCTGTATAATATTTAACTGTGTACATGTATATAGATATGTGTATTCTCAGATAATGTGTGTTGGACCTGGACAGTTGATTCAATTTACATTTTTGACTTATTTTGCCTCTTTAGAGCACCAAATAATAACAAGTTATTTGTAGTGGCAGAAGATCAGAGTGCATTGAAACAGTCACTTGATCAGCTCCAGTTATTCTCAGAAGATAATCCTCCTTCTGGTGCTCCAGTAAGACAAAGATTATTTTAATACTATACCCATTACTACGTACATTTGTAGTTTAAAGAGGGGCATGGCTAGGGAGGGATAGTGCTTGCAGACTGTGGACTTGCAGAGTTTGAGTACATACAGTGTAATGACTCACAGTGAACCTAAGTGGACAATTGTGACCTAGCTAATACCACAGTAATAGTAACAAAATTTATGCTAAAACTATACAATTGTTCAGTGATTTTGTTACCTCCGTGCCCTGCGACCCTGACGCATAAATATCCCCAAAGAGGCAAAATAATTCATGGCATGTGTCCCGGAGGACTCAAAGAACAATCCATCGATTTGAAGATTTTTTGGTAGAATAATCTTGTTTCTGTGTTTTTTTGTTACTGTTGTTTAAAGATGCATGTTTATTTTAGTCTTTTTTGTGCTTTAAATATATAGAAGGACTATATTTTAATTTCAGTAAACTGTAATATTAGATAAAGAGTTTTGGCAATAAATTGTCTCCAGATTAACTGTCTGGTTTCATAAACTGGGACTCATTGGTTATGGACAGGGACTCATGATTTTTCACAAGATGAGTCCCAGGACTTATTTGTAGCAAGATCACTTGCTAATGTTTATGGTCTTTACCTGTGATCAAATTTTTTCTATTTTGTCTTTTGTTGGGTTTTATCCCTAATTTGAAGAACTCAAAAAATAATATAAGTCTTTATTGGCCTGTGTTGAATTTTCAAAATTCATCCCTGACTTCAAGACTGGGGGAAATAAACAGAAGAAATGAATAATATTATTATGCATCCCTAAATCACAATGCAATTTCTTTTGTTTTGTACCACTCAGCCTCAGAGCCAGATGTAAACTTTTAACTATTCTCAGGGTGCTAAAAAGTTAATTTCAAGGAAGCACAAAACCTGTCCAGCGTAGAAGGGTCACCCTCCTAGCTGAATCAATGTTGACCTCTTTGCCTGAGCCAACAGCACTCATGCATGCTCTTATTGTCTAAAATAGCTTTCGTGCGTGCTCTGTTTGTCTTGCCTTGACCTAGTTGACCTCGGTGGGTAGACCATAGTGGAGAATTATGCAGAGAGAATATGGGGAAAAGTTGACTATGCTTGATTGGACAGTGGCCCACATGTATCATCACATATCTGCCAAGCTGGGCCAACCTTTTAGTCCAACCAACTTTTTGCCATGTTTTGTAAGGAAATGTAAGAAATGTTGGCTCATAAAGGGTAGCTCTGAAGTTGTGAATATATGAAAATCATATATGAGAACTGCGGGGTGAAGAGGGGGTTATATGAAAGAAGATCATCACAGTTATAGACACAACTATAGAGGGTAGCTCTGTTAGGTGGGTGGGCAACTTTTCTTCATATAGACAGGGCATTGGTGGTCCAAAAAATGAAAGGAAATAGCAGAAAGCAACATTGTTTGAATGGTCACATGACTTTCCCCTCATTACATGTATCTTCCTGGAAACACACCAAACAAATAATGATTTGTAATAATATGCATGAATAAAATTGTATGGTTTCAATAATAATAACAATAATAATAATAATAATAAAACCAATAATGTTAAATGTATTTATCATAATAATAATAATTATTATTACTTTAAATTAAACAATCTATATCTCAGTTCTTCTGTTACTTGATTCACAGTGGCAAAGATTTTTTAACAGTGCATACTATGATGGTATATATGCACTGTCTAAAGTCACACGGTATGTGCGTGATGTCTATGAAGGATTACAGCAAGCACCAGAGAGTACTGAACCTCAGAACCAGTACCCTGGCCCTAAAAAGGAAGTGGAGTTTGAAGATCTTGGAGATACATGTGTTCCATCTGTTAATGGCGACAGTAGTTTGCCAGATAAGGTACCATGTACACTTAATACCAACCTATTATATGTATTTTTTAAATTTTACTTCTTATTACTACTCAGTGGCGGATCCAGGGGGAGACTTATTAACAGTGCATACCCCCTCCCCCCCCCTTATCTTTAGGTCTGGATCCGCCACTGTCACTGCTACTAATAATAATCAGGGGTTTCAATAAGAATTGAAGTAGCTAGCAGGTTTGAATAGAGTAACCGACTGTATCAACAAGGGGCCACTAGTGCCCTTTTTCTAAGGGGGGAGGAGAGGGTTTGGGCGCATTCTGCCACAGAATGCCTTTAAGAAAACACATCATAATTACGTTTTCATTCAGATTTTATGATATTTTGTTCATCTACAACGTTACATGTACTCGAACTTGTTGCTTCTTCTTTCTAGAAAAATGTAGCCAACCTCCACGAGTAAAGTAGCCGACATGTTTCGTTGGTCGTCGGTGCTTATTGAAACCCCTGAATAATAATTATTAATAATAATAATAATATTGTAAAATTTAATGGAAGGTGATGCCTTGTACATGTGCGATTTGCAATAAATAGTGGGGAATGAAAGTGCACGATCTTTTAAAGTACATTCTTTAGTACTGTTGATTATACTGTATTGTAGGTTATGTACATGCATAATTTTTGTGTTGTGGTTCAATTTTATTTTTGGTTTAAATTATAATTGTTTTTCCTCAATTGAACTCAGTATCATAATATAAGACCATAACCAGAGACAAAGGAACAAAACATCTACCAACTGTATCTACTGTACATGGCTTTGGTTATTGTTGCTACATGTATCATGTGGTATTTAAATTAACAAGTACTTTTGGTTATTTTATACATGAAGTTGATGATTTTGTTCTTGTTTAATGGCAGCGAGATCTTGGAGAAACCCCTGAAGTAACACGCTGTGAACCATTGAGACTTAACGAATGGCAGTCATTTCTGGATGACGCTGGAAGGGTGAATAATGTGAAGAAACTGCGTGATAGAGTCTTTAGAGGGGTATGTACTTTGCAGTACTTATACAAACATTAAGTGAGGCCACAACCAGTTGCAAAAATACACTCCACCAAAAAACTCGCTGTGTCTGTGAGATATAGCACTCACCCCTCCCTGCCCTCCATTCAAAGCTGTCCTCCACGTTTTAAGCATGGTCTAGTTTTAATAACACAATGTTAATGTAGTTATCTGCTTCAGTGTCTGTTACGTTTAGGTAATGATACATGTTATGAATAGAAATATATGCTCATCATGCCTCTCTTGAACTTCTCTCATTCAGGGTGTTGATGATTTAATACGTAAACCAGTCTGGCAGTATCTTTTGGGCTATAAAAAGTATGGTTACACAGCTCACTCTCAGCAATCCCTCCTCAAAGGAAAGGAGTAAGTAAATGTAAATGACTTGGCATGTAACTTTCACATCTCACTGATTGTGAAGACATTTTCTTGGCATGGCTTTCACAGATGTTTACGTCTCTGATGCCGCAAGGTTGTCTGGAAGCTCCAAGCGACTTGCAAGAACCGGGTTCTTGTGGTTGTGAACTTATATGTATCTTTGTGGGATAATAGATACCTCAACACCTTTGCTCATTGTAATTATGTTATTAACCATAACTATAACAAAATTGTCAAATCTGATTGGCTATCAACTGCCCTGATTTTAGCCTTAATTGGACAGTTTAGTAAAACAGTACGCGTGATGCCTAAGTAATTGGACAGTACGCGCCATCACGCGCATGCTTAAATGGCTTTTTTTTTCACTGATAGCAAAACAAAATTTCGAATTTCTTGTGTTTTGATTTAAAATAGCCTATTATATCACAAATTTTGTTAAAGTTATGATTAATTGGTAACAGAACCTCGTGTAGTCCAATTCGGTCTGTAATCATAATCGTGATTAAACAAATCGGACTCCCACTACGTGGTCGTCCAATTTTGTTAATCACTCGTATGATTACAGACCGAATTGGACTCCACTCAGTCCTGTTACCATTACATATGATATAGAGAGAGAACTGATGTGGCTAATACATGTCAAAGGCCCTGTCTTCATACCTAAAATTCTTTTCCTGGTCACTCAAAATGTATTGAAATGCACTTCTCAGCATCTCCTAAATTAACTTTTGCGCAGGGAAGGCTCTTGGACTTACCCAATCCCTACGCCCATTTGTTTCAATATTATCTATCGCCGACTACTTCAGTTTATTTCCTTCTACCTTAAGTTTTCTGGGGAACCCTTTGATAGGTTTCAATATTTTTACCATAGAACCTATCAAAATTCAAGATGTTTTGAAGACAAAGTTGTGCATTTGAAAGATTTCCTTGCAATTTTTCTAAAAACTGGGACATCTTTGCCTTAATAGTATCTTGAATTTTGGATGGTTCTGTATTATGTGAATTTATGTATATCAAAAACTGTCTCTTGACATAAATGTGTGCACAAGTGAAGGCAGGAACGAGAAAACGCCTCTCTTTTTTCTCTTTTCCATATTTCTTGCGCTTCGACAACAGTCAGTTGCTTTTGTTCTCTACTAAACTGGGAGTAGGGAGGCAGTACAAAAAGATGCCAAAAACATGTTCCATATGAAGACTTTATTTTGTGATGCAGTACCCTAAATTATTCCTTTTGATTTCCATTAATGTTAAGTTCTGTCCTTTCTTGAAAATGAGTGTTTATAAACATTTTTACTCCTGCAATGTCAGCTTCATTTTTTTATTAACTCGCTATGACTGTTATTACCGTATCATTAATTTTTGGCAGAGATGAATACAGGACAATGAAATGGCAGTGGCAGTCCATGACAAAAACACAGGAAAAAAACTTTTCTGAGTTCAGAGAAAGAAAGCACTTGATAGGTAAGTACACCTGTAAAATAAGAACTTTTATTGTATGCATGGGTTATTGCACGCGGGAAGTTTGGAGAGCAAAAGAGGCGAGATTGCACGAGGCGCAGCCGAGTGCAACTCTAGCCTCTTGAGTGCTCTCCAAACTTCCCAAGTGCTCAATATCTCGACATACGCACATGGATATAATCTAGCGGTCAATGCAACAGTTAACTTAAAAATTTAAATTGTTTCAAAGCAGTACGCGTCAATGTTTACGTGAAAGTTAATTTTGTGTTTTTATCCTGAAAGGAGAAAATGCCTTCCATTTTCCGGAAAATTGTTTGCCATTGAGAGAAAACAACTTCAAAAAATAAATCACTGGAGAATGCGATAAAACACATGGTAAAAATTGCTGAGTTATGGATGACAGGAGATTCAGGATTGTGTTTGTTTTTCATCATCAAGGTCACTAGGCGCGCTATTGAATTTGATTAGGCGAATTTTTAGCATTGCATGCATGGGTTTGATTAGCACACAGGATATAATCTAAAATGTAAATTTAAGGGTTTATATGAAAATTTAACGTCGCTCGTGTACTGAACAATGAACAAATGGAGAAGAACCCAAAAATGCCTTGTGTACTGAACAATGAACACATGGAAAAGAACCCAAAAATGCCTTGAAACAGAATACCATATACCTAAAAATCGTTTGTCTGGTTACTGAGAGAAAACTCACCCACATACTGTGGATAACTATGTGGGAAACTGCAGGCGGTCACCACCTTTTTCCATTTCCTCCTTTCCTAACGTCTGAGTGTATTTCGATCATCGGCGATCACTGTCTAGTGTGTCAACATACATTCATATAATATGAAAAAAAAGTGTCCAAAAAAATCGTTTCTTATTATACCAATAATCTACAAATGGCAACAATGTAGAAAAGCGAGATACTTTATACCCAAAATACCGTATACCTGAATGAAAAAGACCTCGGACACCCTAATACCCAAAACCTCTGGCCGGGCCTGATGAAGCGTTTTCCAAGCTTTGCAAACCCTCCCTAAAACCCCTCTCAGACCCTTCATAAACACTTTACAAGCTTTTTACAAACGCCTTTGAAAGATCTAATTTGGTTTGATCTAGTTTGAAACTCGGTTGGTTTTCAATGTTTGATAAGTCGTGTTTTTCCTTTGGAGGGTTGGTGTAACAAGATTTTCCGTCTTTGTTTATATTAGAGGACGAGAACGACTAAGAGGACGAAATTTTGACCGGAAAGTTTTATTGTACTTTTTTTTGACCAGAAGAGTTAGCACTGTTAACTTTGTTGAAGGAGGTTAAGCCTTCTCCTGGTCAAAAAAGGATAAAACTTCTTACATTTGATATTCATTTTGTTCCCGCCACTATTTCATTCTCGCTAAAACGAGTTGTAGAATGACGACGACTATTACGTTTTCCCGCCAAAATGGCTCCCGCTCCCGCCAAAATTTGCTCACGCGCGCACTACTTAGTATTGAGAAAATCTCGTCCTCGAATTGAAAGATATCTATTGATTCTGTACCTACAGATAAGGATGTAGCAAGAACAGACAGACTCAATGTATTTTATTCCGAGGCAAATCATTCCAATGTGAAGAAGCTTTATGATGTTCTTCTCACCTACTGCATGTACAACTTTGATTTGGGTAAGCTGAAAAAGCATGTGCTCAGTCGAAATTCGCCACTTTCAGTGATTTTGTTGCAAATAGTTATGGTGAGTCCTGCGACTCATCTTATGAAAAATCATGAGTCCCTGGCCAAAACTGTTTATTACAGTTTACTGAAATTAAAATATAGCCCTTCGATATATTTAAAGCACAAAAAAGACTAAAATAAATATGCATCTTTAAACAACAGCCACAAAAATCACACGAACAGGATATTTTACGAAAAAATCTTCAAGTCGATCGATCGTTCTTTGCGTCCTACGGGACGCATGCCATGAATTATTTTGCGTCGTGTGCGGATTTTTATGCGTCAGGGAGGCAGGACGCAGAGGTAACTCATCACTGCTCTTTAGAAACGACAAGGAAACTTGGTCGAGTTGACTTTTACAAAGACTTCTGGGACTGTTGCTAGAGACAGGGAAATGAATTGGCAAATAGCTGGCCTACGCGTAACGATCCCAGAAACACTTGCGGGACGCATTTCGGCTCCAGTTCTTTCTCGTTTCCAAACTAGCGAATTTGATTATCAAACTTTACAATAACAGGAGCGACTTTGCTTTAAGTGAATAAGTTGTAAGCGAAAGATTCAGGGTGATGAAAACCTCGGTAGTTACGTAGTCATAAGCGGCACTTCTTACGTTATGTTCACGTAGATAATTTTCTGTTTAACTGACATGATTGTGTTTTACAGGTAAATGTCCAAGTTTGAATGTTTGCAACATAATCACAGGCGCCTTTATCAATTTTTACTGCTATTACTTTGGATAAATGACAAACATGAATTTAAAAACTATTACTACCATTTTTCTCCTTGTTTTCAGGTTATGTGCAAGGGATGAGCGATCTTCTGTCCCCGATTTTAGTTGTGATGGAAGATGAAGTGGAAGCCTTTTGGTGTTTTGTGGGCTTCATGGAAAAACTGGCAAGTATCTTGCAGTAGTCCTACTCAAAATATCGCCCTGTGTAAGGTAATCGAAGACAGTCTTGGAGTCTAACTTCGCTACGTTACAGAAATCGCGCCGAAATCATTGTTATTATGCGCGAACAGAAGGCCCATCCGATATGTTTTTCCTGCCCGAGCAAGGGCTGTCCGGCATAGTGTCATTGTTACCTTAGTCAGATGCATGGGCAACCTTAATGATAAAAAGTTTTCTATTCTCTAGGCACATAATTTTGATGAGAACCAAGAAGGAATGAAAGCACAGCTCCATCAGCTGACCGTTTTACTCAAGTTTGTTGATCCTCACTTCTACAGCTATTTAGGTAATTTTTTTAACGCTAAATAACTTGTAGAGAAGATAACCGTTCACTTATGTCTGGGAATTCTAAGGCGGATCCCAGGGAAGCAATATTAGAGAGCTTTAGTTTTGAGGACGAGAACGAGTGCGAGTACTAGATTTAACTTAACGTTTTTGTGCGTGTTCCAAAAAAAAGACACCCCAGAAAGCTTCAATTTACGTTTTTTCACCAAAATGGTTAGTACGGTTATTTATACTGAAGGATGTTAAGCCCTCTCTCGATAGCAGAATGAAAGAACTTCTTACATTTGATAACTCTTTTTCCCGCCACTACGACACCCTTGCTAAAACTCGTAGTAGAATGACAACGTCTATCGCGTTTTCCCGCAAAAATGACGCTGGTTCACTCGTGAGCACTACTTTGTATTGAGAAAATCTGGTAGTTGTTCTCGTCTCAGAATCCGAAGCTCTCTATTAAGGCCGCGTCCACACGACTCCAGATATTTTTGAAACCGCTTTTTTTTCACACGAATCGATCTTCCGCCATATGAAACTAGTGATTCCCCACCGAAACCGAGACTCCTGAGTGGTTCAAGATTCCATCACCCGAATCTGGGTTAAAAGGTGTGGGCGGTTGCAAACTAATGTCCAGATATCGTGTGGACTGGGCCTTATCTTCAGAGAAACAAATGAACTGGTTTCCACCGGGGTCCAGGGCCCGGTTGTTCAAACGTTGGATAGCGCTGTCCACTGAATAAATAACTATCGTACTGCCGAATAAATGTTTGGGAAACCGTTTGCGTTATCCGGTGGAGAGTGATTTATCTAGTAGATAGCGTTATCCGCCATTTGAACAACTGGGGTCAGACAAAAGTTGTCTCCTAGGCAACCGTTTTTTGTGTGACATTAGTAGGTAGGTGACATTAGAATGTCTCGTTAATGTCTCATTATTATTATTATTATTATTATTATTATTATTACACATTGTTCTCAGTATCTGTCTTCTCATTGTCTAATCAGTGCAACCTAGAGATTAGTTAGTTATCTGCTAGCAGATAACTAACGAATCTGTAGGTTGCGTGCGCATTGCCAGATTTCCAATAACAATATCAATTCAGGTTCCTTGCGACGGTGTGTTTTTCGTTACTTTCTTCAAAACAATGTATAAGAAAAGAATTATTAGATTCGGTTTTTGTGATATCCTAAATAATCAAGGTCTCGGTAAGTGTTATCAGCCTCGGCCTTCGGCTCGGCTTATAACACTTACGTTACCTTGACCTTGATTATTCTGGATATCACAAAAACCTCATCCAATAATTGTTTATTATTAGATCCAACATGAAACACAGTGTTGGCCGACATTTGTAGGTAATAGTGCACACTCCAGATAGATGTTGCATTGTTTCTCATTCGGGCAAAGAATATCAGCGATGAAAATGCTGCTGCTGCTGCCGATCATGGTGATGACGTAGACTTCCTTTTGAGGATACACTGTTGAGGGTCGTTATGGGTTTCCAATATTTCAATAATGTGATCTGAATTACAGTGCGACTACTGTTACCGCGGTTACGTAGACAAAATGTACCAATTAGATTACACGAAAATGACAGTACAGTCCATGTCTCCTCCGAGATGGTTCCCGCTGGGTATCCTAATAAAAACTGCAATAAGGATTTTTTTTTTTTTTTTGCCGATTGGCCCTCCGTAAACACGTATCCACTCAAAAGGCAACAGAAAACACAAAACTTTTAAGACGCTCTCCAGAGGGAAAACTTTCTTTAAGCCGTTTTCCCGTACTCTTGTGGACGGATGAAAACAGAAATTTCCTTAAACGGTGACTCCACTGTATCTGTTCTCGCGAGGAATAAGAATGTTTCACTCCAATCGGATATTGTAATTTTTAAGACTTGTTGTACATTAATAAGTAGTTTCTTAGAAATCGATTTTGAGATAAATATTAGCGATAAAAAATCACGACGTTTCGACCTCTCCGAGGTCATTTTCAAGTGTATAAAAGTTCTCTAAATTAGCATAAATAAGTTAAAAACAAGTTATAATAGATAAAAATGTGGTGAACGCTAAAATGTGATAAAATATGTAAAAATGTAAAAAGTGCTAAAAATATTTATAAAGTCAAAAACAATGGAAATAAAACAATGTCAACAAGAACTACTCTAAACAAATAATTTGGGGCGAATCGAATCGCACTGTTTGTTAAGCGTCGGTTTCAGTTCTTGGATAAAAAACATTTCAAAAATAAGGCAGTCAAATTTGTTCTGACACTTTCTTAAGATTCTAAAACTTTGTGCGATGTCTTCAGGCTCCATATCATGCTTCTCTCTGAGGTGGTTTCCGAGTGTAGCCTGTGTGATGCAGGCTATGTCGGCTACACGTGCCGACACCTACACCAACGAATTGAAGAACACAAAGGATCGGCAGTCGGAAACCACCTCAGAGAGCAGCATGATATGGAGCCTGAAGACATCGCACAAAGTTTTAGAATCTTAAGAAAGTGTCAGAACAAATTTGACTGCCTTATTTTTGAAATGTTTTTTATCCAAGAACTGAAACCGACGCTTAACAAACAGTGCGATTCAATTCGCCCCAAATTATTTGTTTAGAGTAGTTCTTGTTAACATTGTTTTATTTCCATTGTTTTTTGACTTTATAAATATTTTTAGCACTTTTTACATTTTTACACATTTTATCACATTTTAGCGTTCACCACATTTTTATCTATTATAACTTGTTTTTAACTTATTTATGCTAATTTAGAGAACTTTTATACACTTGAAAATGACCTCGGAGAGGTCGAAACGTCGTGATTTTTTATCGCTAATATTTATCTCAAAATTGTTGTACATTTAAGCTTAAAAGCTTAAAAGCTTGATATTTTTGAATTGGACTTAATAAGTAGGGCTCTGTTTCCGTCCGCCGTCAAGAATCCAAAAGTACTCGGAGATACTGAGTTAAACCATGCGTAAAAGCGCTTGGCGAGACAACTTTTTTCGTGCCTTTTATTCATTGTATACTTTGTGTAATACATACAAGAGCTACTTACGATTCAAAAAGTAATGTGAAAAATATTTGTTTGATGGATGGCTTACGCATTAGTGCTTTTAAAATAAGATATGTTATACTTGTTTGTCTTTCCAGAAAAGCACGACTCTGGTAACTTATACTTCTGCTTTAGATGGCTGTTGATCTGCTTCAAGCGTGAATTCTCCTTTCCAGATATCATGACTTTGTGGGAGGTAAGACCACGCCCAACTGGCGCGAAACAGGAATAAGAACTATTTGTTCCCCACTTTTGAAGCGGGAAGGGAACTGAAGCCGAAATGCGTCCCGCGGTTGTCTCTGGGATCGTTACTGGTGGCGCGTCAGTCAGCTATTGACCAATTTTTTCCCTGTTCCTAGTAACAGTCCCAGAAGTCTTTGCGAAAGTTAACTCGGCTCAGTTTCGTTCTTGCTTTTAAAATGGTGAATTAGAGTAATAGTTGTAGGTTTGTTATGAGAGAGATTAAGCATCGCGTTTACGGCAAACGTCAAACGTGAGATTCAAGTTGAAACATTTTCAAAATGAGAAATGAGCAGATAAAAAAATGGCTGAAAACAATTTTTATAGATAGAATTGGCGTGAATCTACCGATTTTCGTGTAGTTGTAATAAACAGTAAACGTTAAGTACATTAAAGTAAATTAAAAAACTTGGTCACGTGGTACAAATTCACGTTTGCCGTTTGCCATAAACGCGATGCTTAATCTCTCTATTGACCCCCTAAAAGACATTGTAATCGTTTCCATTTTCCAGACGCTGTGGTCTCAAAACTTGTCACCGAATTATCACTTGATTGTCTGCTTGGCCATTTTGGACAAACATCGCCGTATTATTATGGAGAATGAACTTGGATTTACTGAAATCCTCAAGGTGTGTATAACGCCGTAAAACAGATTTTTCATTATTGCTAGTAATAGAGTCTGCGGAATGGTTGGATCGGACTGGGAAGAAAGGTCGGAAAGGGGAGAAGATGTAGACCTTTGAAAATAGTGGAAGCGAGCGCTAAGAGAAAACTAACAAGTAACGTTTAAGTTTTCAGTTGCCAGTTTCGCGTGTTGAGAACTTGACTTCCCAGCCAGGGAAACCAACACCTCAGAGCATGTCGAAAGTATTCCATTTAATGTTATGTCACGATCACTCAAGTCCTTTCGCAAAAAGCCAGTTCAACTCACCATTTGATTTTAAAAAAGAAAAAACTTCTCACGGTGTTCGAAATATAAATAGTTTTTAAAAAACCCATGAAGTTACTTGAAGAAAGAAACTTTAAAAAAATCACAGAGCAGAAGAGAACGCAAGCTTCTAAAACATCTTTTCTTCAATGATCGTGATGTGGCGTCGTTTCATCGCATGTTTACATCGTTTCCATGACAACCCTTCGGGGGGTGATTTGGCACATTTGTCTCTCGGATTGGAATTAACGAAAGTCGGCGCTGCCTTGCACTCCGACGGATTTAATACAAAAGAGCAGGAACCGTTAAAGAGAGTGAATACGGGAAGTAAAAATTAAAGTAAGTACGTGTAATTTCACTCTAGTACCTGCACTATACAGAGGTCCGTAGGTTAGACTTCTAGTACGCTGTGATTAAAGATTCTTTGGTTTGTGTTTGAATTATTTCCTTTGTTTAAAGTGCGGTACCCTTCAGGCCACACGTTCTCCTTTTATGGAAGGAGCCAGGAGGGTGTTGAAAGGAGGCTCTTACACGCATGCGTAACTTTAGGAGCAGAGAGAACTAGTAGGGAGAGGCATTATTCTCACTCGTCGGCTAAGCGGTCTCTCCATTTCCACGCGCTTTTTACGCGCCTGCTCGAATCTTTCACTACAACACTTGCCTGTGTGGAATGCCATCACATGGATCCTTCTTACAACATTTTGTTTTCTTTGCTAGTATATAAACGACCTGGCGTACAACATAGATGTACAAGAGGTGCTCATCAGAGCTGAAGAACTCTGTCTTCAGCTTCTTGCTCTTCCTGAGTTACCAGGGGAAGTTAAGGCCATACTTATTGGCAAAAACGAAGCCATGATGACCCCCAACGTTGAACGACCAGATCCTTTCCTTATGGCTCACAGCAGACATGTTGTTGATTTACTAGAAGGACAAGGAGCTGGCACGGCTAGTTCGTTCATGTATTCGTCTGCCCTGGCGGCTTTTAACCCACAGGAATCATCGCAAGAACTAAACATTCTAGAAGACTGTGATTTCACTCAAACGGACATGAATGACTTGGATGTCGGTATCTCTAGAACAACCCTTAATGATACAGAACCCGGCGAAAACCGCGCCAACGAAGAGGTTCTCTCTGATGAGGATGAAATTGTGGTTTTATCGCAAGAAGCGCAAAATATATTTTAATATTTGTAACACAAATATGTGATAAATGAAACTGATGGTGATGAATGTTTTAAGCATGGTAACAAAACTATTTTTTATGGAGTATAATATAAATCACTTCTCTTGGTTTGCCCAAACATTGTAGGGTGGAGTTCTGTGAAAGACGAAATTGTCTTGCTCCTTGTAGTTTTGACAAGTGTACCTCAAATTGTGTGCTAAACCATTTTAGTTTGACCTCGGATCGGTTACGCTGAAACAAAACTAAAACAACAAGCCAACAAGAATAAAACAATAAACACTCGAGAAATATTTAAGGTATTTTCTCTTAAAATTCCTAATGTTTCGTAGAGAGATCTGAAGGAAAGAAAATTAACCGGTTTGCCGAGGGACTAATCATCAAAAATTTTTTTACAAAACTTCCACGTGTAGAAGTTTGTACAAGTAAATCTCAGCGAACGGTCAACATTCCTGGATAATCGTGCACTTTTACGAGTGGCAAAGGCGAGGATGGGGAAAGGGGGTGTTGTTACCCTCAGACATCACAGAGTTTGCAATGTTGCCCTCTCAGAGACGTTTGGCGGGAAACAGTTAAATTGTTACAGCTCTCATGTGCCATCGAAGCAAGCAATGAGAGCACACGCTGTTGGGGAAAAGATCCCATTTTTATAACCATTTGATTGGTCGAGCGAACAAAGTCAAATGCGGGCGGTCTTTCTGTTGGTTTAACAACCTTGCATTGCATTAACAGTAGCCTGTGGCCGGCGGGATTAGCGCTCGAGTGCTGATGATTTTTTGGCGGCAGAACAGCGAGAAGATTGGGAGCAAGTCAAATTGCAATCCTTTCGGCTCCGCCGCCAAGAAAGAAGTTCGCCCAACTCGATCCTTCTAGTTACGCAGGCTACATTCCCAGCTGGAAAATACATTGCTTAGAATTTCTTCGTAGAGCGACTTTCGTATGACCTTGAAAAATGTTTTCGGTAAGTGTTCGTTATAAACAATTATTGGATGAGGTTTTTGTGATAACCAGAATAATCAAGGTCGGGGTAGGGGTTATCAGCCGAAGGCGAATGCTGAAGCTGATAACCCTTACCGAGACCTTGATTGTTCTTGATATCACTAAAACCGAATCTAATAATTGTTTTATTATACATTGAACGAATTCTTTCTTTCTCGCTTCGACACAAAATGTTTTCAAAGTTTGTGCCAACTCTTTCTTTTCCTCAGGTTCTATCAGTTTTTTCTCTTTCACATAATCAGCAAACAGCTCCTTTGCCACCTCCGTCGGGCTTTTAATGTTTTGTGAGTCCCTGTCTTCAAATATTTTTTTCGATGTCTTGCTCAGTCAACGAAGCAAACCTGGAAGTCATGTTTTTGCTTCTTCACTGACGGCAAGCAACACAAAGCGCGCGAACTTGACATGATTACACTTAGGAATCAAGCACCACGGTCATGCATAACATGATTACCCGTGACCTTGAGTGTCCTTGACATGATTATTGGATAATCTGCAGGTAGATGACGTCCCAGGCACTGATTTCGAAAATTCACTGTACGCTTTCGGCCAATCAGAAAAGAGATAGTGAGTTGAATGTATAATAATTTGTTTTATCAACCAATACATGAAAAGATCAAAATATGGACTCTTCGTTTTCTCGCCAAAGAATAGGCCTTTCCAGATTCTGCTCGGCAACTTTTTAGCAACTTTTAGGATTTTGAGCAACTTTTTTGTCAGAGAGCAACTTCTAGCAACTTTTCGGAAAACTAGCACTTTTTTGGTAACTTTTGTGCTATTTTGAACCAAAATGCTGAATAACGCCCTTTTTTAAATAAACATGTTAAAATTCTCTTGGTTAGAATTCTAAACATCTTTCTAGTAAAACTCATATTTTTATCCTTTGAATGGGTATCATGTGGACGTGGTAATTAATTACAAGAATTGGTTTTGGGTTTTGGGTAGCCTCAGCCTCGTTCCCAGGGCTTTTCCCTTCTCGTGGGGGGGGGGGGCAGGGAAAAAGCCCTGGGAAGGAGGTTGGGGTAGCCTGTGGACTGTGTGTAAACGAAATGGCGGACGCCACGTTGTCTTCCAGATTGTTACACTTACTAACTTTTTGTAACTAGCCACTTAGATTCAACTAAAGGTTGCCTAATTTGTTGTAACTAGTTGCTTAGTTGTACCTTAATGTTGATTACAAAGCAATTGTTATTAAATTAGACATGCTGTCTTAAAAATATTCAAGCAACTTTACAAAATTTTTGAGCAACTTTTTTAATTTTGAGCAAATTTGAGCAACTTTTGAGCAACTTTTTGGCATATTTCTTAGCAACTTTTTAGCTTTTTCGGAGCAGAATCTGGAAAGGCCTACCAAAGAAAACCCTAACATGGAGAAGGTATGGTCCGATTGGCCAATCGTGTTGCCGTATGACGTCAAAGCGAAGTATCGATTGATTTCTAGAAAGTTCTCGTGCATGAAGTTTTTTCACCCGAACGTTCGCTTAACCAACCAAAAGCCACGAGTGTTTGTATCCGTTCGATAAACCAATCAAATCGCTATATTTCCGTTCGTTTGATGTTTCTGTTTTGTTCGCACATTTTCATTTCAAGGTCATACGAAAATCGCCCTAACTGCGTTGCTGATTGGACAATTCAGCTATTCCTTTTCTATTTTAGGTTTTTCTTTCTCACGACAAAAAGACGAGTCCCTGTTTTGATCTTTTCATCAATTCCTAGTTAAAAACAAGTATTGAATGAACACTGGTGGAAGCTATTTTTTTTTTAACTCTACGATTGAATTGCTTTCTGGTGGATGAACTTTGATGGGGTCCAAGCGAGAGCTCTGCTTTAAGCTTAAATTTGCTGAAATGTTACATCATCTGGCTTTTTAGTACAATAACATGCATATAGATGAACCGTTTTACTCAAAACGAGGCATTAGCTTGGTTGTAATAATCGAATTGTTTGTGCCTTTAGTGGTTAATTAAAAATAGGGAGCTCAAGCAGCGACTAAGGCGAAGGCTGCGAAAACGTCACTACTAGAAATAATTCCTATGTTTTCTAATTTTATCGCGTTTGTTCCAACTCGTTTAAGATGTCAAATATACGTGACAAAGCGTCGAAATTTAAAGAACTCATTAAAGTTTCCGCATCTATCTGGGGTTTCCCAGTTTCTACCCTTGACACCCAAACAACTAAATGTAACATTCTCATTCGTTGTCCTTACACTTTTAAGGCTCAAGGGCTTTACAGATCGTTTATAGATAGATGCCACTTTTTGCTTAGTGAACATTACCATCTATCGTGCATAATTTGGCTCTGATCTGTTCTCGTGTGAATAAAGACTTCTAAACTATTATTGTTATTATTTATTGTCACTATTATCGATACGTCTAAATTATGTTACGAAAATAAAAGGTGACTGAATTCATGGCTGTGCATGGGAAATAATACTATTGCCATTTATACTGGTCTTCTATATGAGTTACCCACAGTATCTCGGTCGTGCAATGAATCACTATTTTAATCTTGGGAACCCAAAGATACCATGGTGCTTGGAAACAGCAGCAAAACACGCCCGATCGTCGGTGAACAAGCGTCACAATGTCTGGTGTTTATTGATTGCCCAAATTTCAAACTTCGAAGAACTCTTCGAGCTTTGGGTTTTTACTATTACTATTAATAATATTATTGTTGTTATTATTATTTTTTCAAAAGGTGAAAACAATATGATATTCCAACAGGTAAACTCTACGGCCATATGACTCGACCTCATGATGACTGTAATATTTTTCTGACAACTCGATTTCATGAATATGGTTATGCTCTCAATTTAACTTTTGCACTATCGTAAGACGTGCAGACCAGCAATTGCGTATTACATAAAACGCGATCAGCCGCTTTGAGCTCTAGTTTATTCTTGGAAAAACGTAAGGAGAAAGAATTTCTCATAAAAGGCCGGACAATTCACAAGCAAGGGTAAGTAATAATAATAATAGTAACAATTATTCCTTTATTTACCCTCGGCAGTATTTATAGCCCTAATGCTAGTGGTGGCGGGCAAATGCCTGAAACAAATAATCTAAATCAAACTTAACAGCGTTAAGAATTCCGGCTAGCCGGAGGCAAATTAAAAGCATGGCCGAGGATCTGAAATCGGCACAGCTAGCGGTCAAAGTTGGACTTAAACTCGGGGCCTCCAAATTGCAAGCATCGGGCAACTCGCCGATTTCTATATATGAAGGGGACAGAGAGTAACATGTATAAAACTTCTGATTATACAACTGTATAAATGACAAATAAGCTATCGTACATCCATATGTACATCCAAATGTATGTACTGGACAAGTCCGCTTTCTCGACTCTTCCGATATTTTATTTCATTTCTTGCGAAGTGGTCAGCCGTAGACAGCCTAGTTCTATTTACCTGAACTCTCAGCCATATCATAGCGACACGCGTTGGTTTAGACTTATGCCGTATGACCTGTATTTTTAAAAAATTCATAGACCTCTGCGATCAAACGACTGGAAACAAAGAAAGACTTGGGTCCATTTGAAATTGACAGAGCTGTAGTTGATTCCAATCGATGCATAAGTGCAATAGGAACCTTTAGCAACTACGACGACGACAACTGTAGTCACCTTAAGATAAACCGCTGCTGTCTTCGGGCACGGGCAGGCGAACATGTTTGCTACGTAGGGCAACCATTGCACTTCCCAGATGTCATTATGGCGTCACCGTTCTACCCAGTGAATTTACCCGTACGTCGAACACGGAAACGGTGTATCTTATAACAAAAAAAAGTAAGGTTGGGGAAGCCTTTTGTTTGTCACGGTGTGGCATTTCCTAGCTAAAACGTTTTTCTTATTTCTTTTTTTTTTTTCGTAGGTTGTGTAAGGATGCCTGTTGATTCGGAGAACAGTACTAGACAAAGTAGCTTCACCAAAATCTTGGGTTTTCTTTCTTTTCGCAGGAAAACACTAGGTGAGAACCGTTTTCTTATGTGTGGCAAGAGCTTCGTCAAATGCTATGAGCAAGAGACAGGAGCACCCAACGACGGTTTCCTCCTAAATACATTGAAAACACGTTTTAGCCTTTCCTGAGTACTTTTAGATCTCTAGAGATGCATTTTAACAGGGCTATAGAATTTGTATCTGTTCGGTCATCCTAGGGGAACTTAAGTGTTTTCGAAATTACAAGTTCTTCAGTGTTATTTTCCCGTAAGTTTTAGTAAGTTTTATCACGAGAGGGATGATTTTTCCGATTCCCCTCTCCATCACATTTTTTAATCCGAAGATTATAAGTTTCCTTTTTTCTCCGAAAAATAGCCTAATCTGGGTAATGAAATGAAAAAAAAAATTTAACTCCAGAAATTCGTAGGGGAGTCTGTTAGATAAGCTTCGAAAATTCTACATGAATGGAACGATCATCTAGAAATTTTTAGCAGTCCTCAAGTAACAAAAAATTCTAGGCAATGTTTGGCTCTCCGAACAGATATTTTAAAGAAAACAGTCGTTGGGTGCCCCTGAAGAGAGGAGCACCTTTATCCTCTCTTGCTATGACTGAATTTGGCAACCAGACGAATATTTGTTTACATTTTTGGCTTCAATGACATATTAGCTTATCATTTTCTGATCGTTCTATTAAATTAACGTTTTTGAATATTGAAAGAGCATAGCAACATTAGTAATAACTGAAAATTTGAGTATGCGTGATATAGTAAATAGCCAGGAGAAATTTTCTTTTTGATCTGAAATCATAACAAAAAATGTCTGGGTTCATTAACGTTTTTTCGCCCATGAATTTCGCACAAATTTCTTAAGTTATCGACAGTAAGTGTTCTGTGGCATTTCTTGTGCATCAGGTGAAGTATCAAGTGATGAAAACATTGACACCAAAGAAGTGGACATCCCCGAAAATGGTAAGTTTCATAATTAAAGACGCCCCCAGAATGGATGATTTCTAGTAAAAAGAAAAGGAAAAAGGTAAAGGGGCGGGATTCTCTATCATTATATCGTTATAAAAAGTTACCGTATGCACAACAATGAGCGTCCTGTAGCAGCGTGTTTTCCAATTTATATTCACAACTAAGAGATGGGAATGGGTGTGCAGCTCGAACTGTGAGCCTGAGTGTTTTTGCCGTCCAAATGAAATACAAAGTTCAACATCATAACTAAAGAATGGTATACAAATTTTCCTAAATAAAGTCACTCAGCCTAAACTGTTCACGTGCGCCGTCTGATACGAAAACCCTAAGCCCCAATGGGAAAAAACAGGGAACGTACTCCCCGATGCGGTCGCACAACCTCTGGGGGTTAAAGGTAAAAAATCAATCGATAGATGATGATAAAGTAAGATAAGTTAATTAACGCCGTAGCTGCTCACGCTTGGTCATACCAATAGGAAAGTATTTACATTCGCTGTCACTGCCAATACGTTTAGCTCCGCCGAGTGTAAATACATTTATCGGCAGACCAAGGGCACTAAAGCCACATTTATGTGGACATA